CTTCACATCCCGTGTTCCTCCTCTTATAAAGTACAGAATGTTCTATAAATAACAGCCAGACCAAAAATAGAATGAAGTCCAAGTGCTTGTGTTCTCACTGAGCTGGAGAAATGAGTTCCTCTTCCTGTGCATGTATCCCGAGCCCATGAGCGCTGGGTCTGACCTGAAGCTGAGCAGCAGGGAGGGCAGGAATGTTGTTATTAGAGCGCTAACACTCTTCTGATATTAAGCTTACAGAGACACGACAGTTGCTATTGAAAGAATGCTGCTCTTTTTCTTCTTATCCAACTCTCATCTTAAAACAGCCTTTAAAGGATTGTTGTTTTATCTTCACCAGTCTTAATTGTTTAAAGCAGATTGTGGAATTCATGGATGTTCTGTACTAGATAGCCTAAAATGTTTGGACATGCCAGTGTTGGCTGGCTTTTTGGCTTTTTGTTTGGTTATTCCAAGGCATGAATACTTTTCACACAAGCTTAAAGTATTCGGTGCTATAAGGTTTACTGTTATACTGTTCAAAAATATTTTGCTTAATGCTCATTATGTTTGTTTAAGGTAATTAAGTTAATATTTACAGCAAGATCCTGATTGTTTTATTTGTCTGTTTTCTTCCAGCAGGATATTCAATAATAAGCCATAAAACAATTATTCTTCCTCATTGAGAAAACAACAGAATTGACAAGGATATTGTTTGAATCCTATTTTAATATGATTCTCACTGTGATTTTGGCCGATTACAGTGTTCACCAGTGATTCACATTTCATAATGAACAATATATTTATTTTATATAGATTTTTTTTTTATTTTATTTGAGTTTATTGGCAGTCGTGTGGCTGGTTTTATGGATTCCATACCAGTGATTCAGATTTTAAAATGAACAATATATTGACTTCTAAAGGCACTAATTAATCTCCATTTATTTTATTTTATTTTATTACATTACATTACTACGCAGGCCTATTCAGTGCCATTTCTGTTCATTGCCACAAGGGGGCTCCGCAGCTTTTATATTTGAGCCATTAGTCTTTTTTTGTTTGTAGACAGTCTTGCTGCTTTGTGATCAAAAGAAGGCCTCTTTTCGAATAAAGTCACCTGATCACATTCTGGTGATTGTCCCACTGACCTTTGATCCCTGAGCATCACATAGTAGAAAATGACACTTAATTTTTACAGAAGCTTGTAGTCAAAAACAGAAGACTTTCACCCAACGGGGTGTACAGCTCCGTCAGCTCCGTCAGCTCCTCATATTCATTCTTTCTTTTGCTTGTTGCAGTTGTGTTGCTGCATGTTGACATTCAACCTTGTCATGCAAGAAAAATAGCACACCTGATTACACAACCGAGCAGCTTTTGTGCTGGAACAAAGGTCTGCTGTCAGAGAATAGCTTTAGAAGATGTGCTTGCAGAAAAAATATTGTGACCCAAAGTAGGAGGAAAAGCAGAGGAAGCAGATTCTGGTTCTGAGATGGTTCTTCTTGTCTTTAGAGGCTCCCAGGCACAAATCACCTCAGATCCACTCAGGAATTCCGACTCAATGAGAAACAGATGTGTGTGTATGAAGCGCAGCCATGAAAGCCAAGCTCAGCTCAAAAACTGCACGCTCCACACACACACTTTAGTTGTGATACACCATATTGTACTCAAGAAATATTTACATGACGTAGTTTTGTTACTGTATTATTCTATCACTATTTTATTATGAAAAACCTTTCATAAAAGTAGTTGCAGATCAAACTTTGTGCTGGAGGTTACAGCATCTTTTGTGCCACAAATGGGAGTAAATTACATGGCAGGCTAATTTGTAGAATGACAAATGGCTACAGGACAGAAAAGGTTGCCCAAATCTTTTCATCTTGGTTGCTTGTCATTTAGCAAAAAGTGACTTACAAGTCAGTAAATGCAGACACAGCCCCCTGGAGCAATGCTGGGTTAAGTGCTTCGTTCTGGAGTTTGTCTTGTCCCTATCTAAAATCAAACTTTAACCACTAGGCTATTCATCTGTTTTTATGTACTGTCTACAGAATGGTCTAGAGCTGAGACAACAGACAAGACTCACTCAAAAAGTCTTTGTAGATGTCTAGTCAGAAAAATGTGTTTCTGTCCAGCTGAGAGCAGAAGCAGTGTAGACTACACACACATACACATCATCTGTCTTTGTTTCCCCTTCTCCCCTAAATGATCATACCATCTGTGCATGTGATTTTCTTTTTTTTTTTTTTCCTAGAGGGACTCCCTCTATTGGATATTCAAACAACACACCATGTACTGACCTCAGCAACTTTCCATTTTAGCTCCTCTCCGTCAATACATGATTTTAATGGTCTAAAAACACTCTTTCTCTGAAAATATATATATATTTTAAATATTTTATTTTATTTTTTATTTCGATGACAGCTGCGTGGTTGGTTTTATGGATTCTATACCAGTGATTCATCCAAAAATGAATAATTTTTCTAAAGCCACTAATTAATCTATATGTTTTTTATTTTATTTTGACTTCTAAAGCCACTTTTTTTTTTATGTATTTATTTATTTCAATTCATTTCAATGGCAGTTGCGTGCCTGGTTTTATGGACTGTATGTCACTGCACTATTCATTAAAATGAATAATATTGACAGCTAAAACCACTATTTTATTATATTCTATTCTACTCACTTTAATTTTAATGGGAGTTTCATGGTTTGTATGTCAGTGATTCACATTTGAAAATATATTGACTTCTAAAGGCACTTTTGTGTTGTGTTATGTTATGTTATGTTATGTTATGTTGTGTTGTGTTGTGTTGTGTTGTGCTGTGCTGTGCTGTGCTGTGTTGTGTTGTGTTGTGCTATGCTATGCTATGCTATGCTATGTTATGTTATGTTGTATTCAATTCATAAGCATTCCCTTTCACTTCAGTGGTGGTTGTGTGGGTGGTTTTATAAATTCCCAGTGATTCACATCTTAAAATGAACAATACATTCACTTCTAAACCCAAAAATGAATCTCCATATCATTACATTAAATATTTTTTTTTTACAGATGAACAGCCCTATATAATAATCTTTTTTCTTTTATGGTGATGTTTTGACATCACACATATTGTTGGTTATGATGTCTTTTGAAGAAAAACACTGGCTCCAAAATGTAAATCTGATTTAGCATTTCCTCATGCCTTCACGGGTCACAGCACATGTCACACTGAGAACAAAGGCCTCACATAGACACATTCACATGATTTCTCTTTTGATCTTTCGCTGAAAATGAATTAAACTGGTTAAAATGATTTGAGGGCACCACTCACCTGACTGCGCATTCTTATTTGACCTGAATTAAATTGACTCAATTATAATATTATTTGCCATAGTGTATTCATTCTTTGTGTGTCACACGCCAGTTGTTTATGTCTTGATGCTTTTTGTCTGTGTTCTTGTTTACTCTGTTGCCTAAATCTCAGTCTATCATTTTTGGATCAACCCTCAATTACAAGCTTGCTTTGTAGTCAGCATATTTTGGGGGATTTCTTTTCTTGAGGCATGAAAAGGCAACGCTAGTCCCATCTACAAAGGCATGCCTCACCACTTACATGTTTTACATTTTGTTCTCAATGCACGCAAGGTGAATTAGCACACATTAAAATGTAAACAAGGATTCAAGCTTTCTAACAATATGCAGTCATTTGAACTGCTTAAATTTGGGTCCTTGAAGGCAAATTTTTGCGTGATGGTTGAGGAATGATAGCGGACTATATTAGCGCTCTGGTGCCACTGTAGAGCAAAGCTATTTAGTTGTATAATCAGTTTCGAGGTAATGTTCACCACAGGCTCAGCTACTGTGAACCACACAGTGAATCACATGCCGAAAAACAAAACAAGAACGGTATGTGCTCCAGGTAGCTTCTTCTCACTCCTTCAAACCAACAATTAGCTGTTTATCCTCGTCGGTAATGACAAGGTGTGTCAGCAGGTTGAGTAGTTTTTGAGGTTGGAGATTGCTTCTACCGCTCTCGCCCCAAGCCATCTGTCCTCCAAATCTGGCTTTTCAAGTTCACCTCTGTCTCTTTTTGTCAATAAGATGAAGCGGAGCTGTTTGGGAGGTCTGGGGAATTACAATGAGCTGAAGTGTTATACAGCACATTGTTACCTGTTACAAAATAGGCGACACAAATACTTTTATTGGTTTGTTTAACTTGCAGATGTTCCAGATCGTGTGAACAGAATGTGATGTGTTGTAAATCTGCTTCTAACTGAAAGGTGACACTAGACAGTAATTTTAGGGGATCATAATGACATACTACAGTACTGTTTCTGCAGTAGTGTACTGTGAACACTATACATTAAATACACTTGAGACCTTGTACAATTTGCTTATATGTGCAGTATATAACAATGTTACAATGGGTTGTGTCTTTACAATGCAATGCAATGCAAAACATGACCTTCCATTTCAGATGAGATGAATGAACAAATTATAAATATATATATAAATGCTGTTCTTTTGAATTTTCTATACATCAAAAATCCTGAAATTAAGGTTTCCACAGGCAACTGTCTATTGACCACTCAATCAGCATTTTAGAATGATTTATGAAGGATCATGTGATACTGAAGACTGGAGTAATGATGCTGAAAATTCAGCTTTGCTATCACTAAAATAAATTGCATTGTAAACTATACTTTAAAAAAAAAAACAGTTCTTTTAAATGTTAATAATATTTCACAATGTTACTGTTTTTGCTGTATTTTTAATCAAATAAATGCAGCATTTGGTAAGTATAAGAGATTTCTTTCAAAAACTTTCGAAAATATTACTGACTCCAAACTTTTAAATGGTGCAAAATAATAAACTAACATGATGAGATTATGTGACAATAATGAAGCATGTTGCTGTTTGGAATGTTGCATAATGTTACTATTTCTGCAATATGAGTGGTCGCCTATGCCTAGTATGTTATTCAGAATTCAGTTTTACATGGTCTGTAGGCCTACTGATTAGCAGGGTCATGCTAATTTGTATCAGGTGTCGTATTGTCTAATGGGAAATGACACTTTGTAGACTTGCTGCAAGCTGTTTGTTGCTCCTTCAGTGTGCTTCATCTGATGAAGTTTGGTATGAAAACGATATCACTTCAGCTCAAGGTAAATATGACCAGACTCCACCCTAGAAAGTTTAATGTTGTTATGGATATATTTTATTCTTAAACAAATAACATGAAAATAAATAGATCCTTTGGCATTCCCAAGAAACTGTTAATGATTTAAAAAGGCTGACAGACAGAGAGAGCTATCTCACAATGTTTGTGTTATATTTAAAATGTATGCATGCCCGCCTAAAACATGCACACCAACCTGTTGATTTAAGATAAACCAAATCGGCATGAATCAAAGTCGTGCCTTGTGTATGGCACAAGGTTGTTTAAAAGCTGGATTAGCACTGAGATAAGAGACTTCTATAAAATGCTGCTTGATGTCAAGCTGGCAAGAAATAAGTCCACCTGAGAAAGGCCATGTCGTTCAGTTTGGACCTCAGCAAGCTTTTTATATGAGCTAATAGGCCTGCATTATATTGTTGCAGAGTTTATATGTGCATGTATTTTAGTGTTTCGTGCATATGCCACTTGATGTATTCAAAGATGGTAATTCCAGATTTCATTGCATGCATTCTTCTCCTCACAGCTCACCACCTTTCTGTGGCTCAGTTTAGGTCCGCTAAATCAAGCCATTAACTAGTAGGGCGAATCATTGTGGGCAGGCAAATAAAGCATTTTTGTCCTTTGGCTGCTTTATGAGAGCGTGTCGGTGCTGTCCTGGTTTGTTAGAGTCAGGAGGCATGTGTTTGCTCCGTGTGCTTTCATATTAAGTGCTGCATGCACATTAATGGAATCATTTGTCTCTACTTTTGTTTGCATTGTGGGTCTTGACATGGCTTTTAGCACAATATTCACTGCTTTAAGGCTTTGTGAATCTGTTCTGTCTCAAAACTGACCCAGAACAGACACTGCACCTCACACTTCCTCCATCCTTGTGAATTTCACAAATCCCATATCAGTTTAACTGAAATCCTGGCCTCCTGTCTGCACTTTTGTACTGCTGAAAAATTATGTGTTATTGTTTGGATTTAAATCATTGATATGCATTGACAAATGCAGCTTGTCAAGCAACCTTAAAAGAAGGGATGGTTGCTTGACACAGCTGCTGGGTCCATCACTAGCCATCCCGTCACGCTATAGGACACCACCCCACATTCTTTTAAATTCTGAAGTCACAATGCCCCAGAGGTCACCCAGAACGTACCATGGAGATATGACCCTTGTAAACCTGCTTTCCCCATGTGTTAGCCCTTTAGCATTAGCATTCATGCACCCTGAGATCAATTCAAAACCTTCTCATAAAGGCGGACATATGGTACGATCAAACTGGTTTTTCTTCTCGCTTTGAACATATATTCCTCTCTGGAATATAATCTTCAAAGAGTTAACGTTAAACAGTTGTAGTCTCTCCTTTCAAGATCCTAATAAAAACCACGCCATTTAAGATGGAGATTGTAAACTGAAGGATTAAGCACATCATTTGTATTATTGTTCAAGATTAAAAGCGCAAATATGTAGGCAAGACTTTGCTTAAAAAGCATTGACTCTTATGTCATTAGTTGTAAATACTTTACTGCAGAAATGCTGGTCATTATCATTTAGCATGAGATGGTAATGTGCTGGTTTTCTCTTCTGGTGGATTAACTGTCATAAAACTGTGAGATAACCCACTACGTAAAACCATTATCACCAGAAAGACCATGCCGGTCAAGCTTAACTAACTCTTTTGGTGGGGAATTGCATGGCTATGCTAGTTAGCCAATTAGCCAGAGCAGTACTTATGTAAATAATAGTTTTTAACAAATGTAGCACACAGTAGTCAGAAATCAGAAAATTCCCTCACACTTAATAAACTTTTCCAATTTAATAGGCTAAAAAGACGTCACAGTGTGGCTCACTATCTCACTGAATATGTTTCAGACTAGCGGCCTGACATGTTGGCTGATTTACAACATGGCTCCTTTTGGTTTCAAGGCCCATACTTGCGTAATGTCTGGGCTCTTGCGTTGTGGTTGGGAAGAAAATGTACATATGATGCCTCTGTGAAAATAAATGTCATATTAGTGAGAGGAATCATATTATCGGGATCCAAAGTGTGAAATTATAAAAGAGGATTCAAATTTTTCCATAGCAGGCACTTTGTCTGCATCAACTGAGCATGTCAGTAAACCAGACAACTGTAAGTAGATATTCTGTTAAATGAGTGTGTCTGTGTGGACTTAAATATACAGTTTTAAGACCAGCCTGCTGTATTTAATGTTAGTCTGAGGGTTCCCGGGCTAAATCTCAGTTTTAGGTGGGACGCTTCAAGTGAATATTTTACAGAGGCTGTTAAAGCATTCCTGACAGATTGCTATTAAATGAGTGTGTCCATCTGAGCAGTCAGAGAGTGTTTTTTTTCTGCTTTCACCTTAATTCTATACATGCTCACTCACACAATGATACTGATGACAGG